GCCCTTTGCCTTCTTTAAGGATGGATGGAGGGAAGATGAGAGAGTCTTCCACTTCTACCAATCACTGCCACTGCTGCTGCCTGCCGTCTTACAGGAGAGCCAAGTAATAAAGGGTCCTCTTGTGATATACTAGTGGTTCAGTGCTCAGGTGTCGTTCCGATAATCCAGTGTTTTGTTGCTAAATATCTAAAAAATTAAAAATACATTGATTTTCCTCATTTTGATTTTTAATTTTAATTTTCCTTATTCTGCTTGTTAATTCAGCAGAATTCTGTTACAATAGATTTTGTCGGCTCGATGACCAAGATATTTAGTAATAAAACGTAGGATCACCGGAACGACGTCTGAGCACTGAAACACTGGTAAATCACAAGTGGACTCTTTATTACTGCATTTGCAATTGTTCAAGTTCTATTTTGGAAAGAGAATAAATGAGCACTGAACCACTGACATGTTACAAGCGAACTCTTTATTTACTGTGTTTGCTATTGTTTTAAGATAAAACTGATTTGGGAAAGAAGCTACTTCTGCCATTTTTATGATGTTTATTTACAGACAGTTGCCTTGTGTCTATTGCAGTAGACATTGTATTACCATCCTGTTTATTGTTTTATTGCTTACAGGAGAAGCAGTGCAAAGCACCTTTCAAAACAGTCTCCCTGCCCCTTTAAAGGAGGGGGAAAGCTGCTTCAAATGGGCCCTTTGATGCTTTAATACAGTTCCTGCGCTCCCAATGGAATCATGTGGACTGCTTTAAAGAGCAGCCTCCCCACTCTTTAAGAGAGGAGAAGGGTTTCAAACACTTTGAATCTTTATGAATCCCCGTGCTTTTCAACAGAAGCATGGCAACTGCATTAAAGCACTTGGCCGCAGAGATCAAGAGCTTAAAAGAGGCAGAAAGAGGCTTGCAAAAGCCTTTGGGAGTCTTCCCGCTTCAAGTGGAACACAAAGGGTTTTTAACAAGTTCGCAGCCCTGCCCACCTTGGACATTTGGCCCACAAGGCAGATCCTGAAAAGGGTCTGGCCCATGGAGCCAAAAAGGTCCACCTGCCCCCTGCTTCAGAGAGTCAGGGAATCCTCAAGGGCAGCTTGGACTGAGGATGGCTGTTGAAAAGAAAATGGGAGTTGTATGTAGTCCAATAATACCTGGAGGGCACTATGTTGCATTATGCAGTAAATTGAATTCAACCTCAGAGAGCACTTCCCTTCGCTCGCGCTGGGGTATTATTCATTACCCTAGTCATCATGCTCAGTGGCCAAGAATTATGGGAGTTATAGCCCCTCAACACTGAAAAAACACCATTTTGGCTGTTCCTGGCCTAATGCATAATTAAGGAATTATGTTTCCCATCAAGGAATGACCTTGATTTTGTTATATATATGCATTGCTGCATTGATAAAGACCTCTGTTTTAATTGTTGCTGCACGTACACACGTATGCACAGATAATACGTTTCTTGGGTTCAGCTTTCCTGAACTGTAGGCATCTTTCAAAGAACTCACTTGGGAATCTTCTGTTCTCTTTGTGTGTGGAGGTTCAAGTTTTACTCAGCTTAGCAAAGCCAGGAGAAACGTCTGTAGTATTTTTCATCCAAATAAAACCTGGAACACTTGCAGATTCCAAAAATAGAGAAGACTACATCCTCCAACTTTCTCTGGCGTTAGTTGAACATGGAAAACTCTCTAAAATGAAATGTTTTTGCCAGTGATATACAACTGCTTCTCGAGCACTTAAGTGCAGTAGCCAGTTGAAAGCTCTGTGGGAGTGCTGGAGGTTAGGGCTTGGCTCCTATCTCTTTTGCTCCGTTCACAGAAGCTTCCAGTCACAGAAGCAGAGCTGTGCTTACCAAAAAGCTGCTTCTGCCCATGGAATCTTCCAGGGATTGTCATTTAAGACCTTGAACTCTGACCTTTTAAGTAGAACAGGCTTCTTTTTTTTATTTAGCACCTTTTCCTTGAAAGTTCCACACTCCCCCCTGGCACTCACTTGGTTTAACCCGGAGTGGTACCCTCTACAGATTCATCTAGCTGACCTCCAGTGCTGTTACCTTTGTACTCATGAATAGAAGAAACTCATGGAAGTGGGCAGGCTGAAGTTAGGGGATTAAGTCACCAGGCAGAAGCCAGTGGATGTGCCTGGATGATGCTATCAGATGGTAGCCACCTGCTTCCTTGTCTGGCCCCATTAATGTCTTTAACAAGGAATGGGCACCAGGTGGTTGCGTCATTTGATTTCCTACCAAGTGCACAGGTGCTGCTTATTGCTGGGGGACTTGTCTAAAAGGATGCCGTTTGTTGGATGACACAAAATGCACACCTGTTTCAGCATGGAACAGAATATCTTGTGAACCAATTTCACTTGCCCATTATCTGTGAGCTATTCTGTTTGCACACAACAAACAGGAGAAAGAATTTGGAGCGGTTTATTTTCACATCAAATGTCAAAACATTTTGGTTTTACTTCCTGATACTTAAACCCATAGCCTTGGCTTTCTGCATTCCAAAGAGCCATAGCAAAGTGGAGCTGTGAATTAAAGTCTGTATAAAGGCTATAAAGAAAATCTCAATAGCAAGGAGGTTGAAGACTTTTGCTCCAAAATTTGCGGTGGTTTGAGGATTCCTGTTAGTGCTCTCTCTCTGGTGCATGAAAACCCAGCACCAGATCTTGCAGTGCATTCTGCCCAGCTAGCTTGCTGTTAAATTAACAGGATGCAGTCTCCAATAATGTTAATAGGCTTGCACCTATGGACATTAATTCTGAAGCTGTACCAAATTACATCTCTCTTGTGTGTCCCAGGTAGACAGTGCTGCAAATTTGATGGATTACCATGTGCTAAGATTCCTGCATTGTAGGGGGTTGGACTAGATGACCCTTGGGGTCCCTTCCCTTTACAGTTCTATGACTTTAAGATGCTCAAGCTCCAGGACTTTCCCTTAGTCCACTAATTCTCCCCCCACCCTGCACATGGGGCCTGCACATGGATGTATTTAATTAGAGTGCAACAATAAAAAATTGCATGTCAAAGCAATTTGCTGCAGCTTCTTACATACAGGTGCTCAATCCTGAGGAATGATCTTGGAATCTGCAAGAGAGTGCATGACAGGAAGCAGAAAGAAAAGGTTTTATTCTCACAAAGCGGAATGCTCTGGACAGATGAAAGCGGCTGCCTCGGGCAACTGATTTTTAAGGTGTCACAAAAAAGGGCAGCAGGTTGCTAGCGATTTAATATATCATTATTGTACTTCAGGGAGGCAGGCACCTGCACAATTTATATTTTATTTATTAAATGCTTTATAAACCATATTTCAAGGCACAATTCCCCTCCTATGGTGTTGTACAAAATTCCTTAAAACATAGTATGCAATGATCATATGCACTGTAAATTTGCTCCGCCTCAGGCAGCAAAATGCCTTGAGCCAGCCTGAAGAGTTTCCCAGTAGAAAACTTTCCCTCTGTACAATCACATCATCCTAAAATATCAAACATGAAGCAGCCCTCCCTTAGGCAAGCCAGTTTGGATTTGGGTGGTGGAGAGGTTCCTCCTTGCATTGCATACAACCAATCTGAAATGATTCAGCAGAAAGTTATGAAAAATGCACAAGTGGCTTTGCTGCCCTGGGTGTTGTGTCATTCTTCATGCTTGCCAGGACTTATAATCCCAAATTCATTGGCCGGAAAAGGGAAGACTGGAATAAATTAAACGATTAGATTTTATGTTTATTGCTGTGGATCTCAGCAAAGACAAAATGCTGAAGTTTTACCTTTTAAAAATCCATCTCATCTACTAATAGCAAATTCACTCCTGAGTGTGGATCAGCACGGTCCATGCAAAAGAAGGAAGACCTTCATGGCTCAAATGGATCTTTAATCGGGAAGCTGCAGAAATGAAGAGTGAAAACAATGCAACAAACTGAAATATTGGAATTCAGCAATGGCAATTTCTTGCTTGTAGTCGCATTTTGAAGGTATCCTCTTAGTTAACCATGTGTACCAATAACAGGGCCCCCCTAAGACCCGAGGAGCCTTAACTGTATGCATACTTTGCAAGCCTATAACTCTTGTCTCTCCTGAAAACTTTCAAAGCAAAGATGGTTGTTAAAAGGGGTGCCTAGCACTGCAATCAAAGTTCTCTCGCTGCCTAGCGCTCATTTGTTTCATCAAGAAACCAGGATCCTCTTCCTTCCTGCTCACTGGTTGCTTTTTTCTCCTTTGGTTTTTTTAATGAGATGCTCCACTTATTTTATGCCATGTGGACTCTATAATAAGATGAAGATGTCCTGTAAATTGTTCAAAGTGTCAACTGAAATGCAGTTCTGTTCAGTATAGTGGCTATGTTTGTGTCTCGTCGGGAATAATAGAAAACAGAGGCTATATCCTTTGAAACTTCAGCATGATAAATGACACATAAGGACGAAAGAAGCATGGCACACATCCCAGAGCCTCACTCGTCCATGGTGTAACTTTACTAAATCCTATAGAAAAATAAAATTGGCTTTTTGGGGATAGAGATGCAGAACATCATAGCATAGCTGTCAAGTGTCCCTTATTTGAAGGGATAGTCCCTTATTCCAGCGCCATGTCCCGCTGCTGTGCCTTATTGATAGATGTCCCTTAAATGTCCCTTAAATGATGTCCCTTAAATTTCAAAGGAAGCAGCTCCTCTCCCTCCCTCCCTGCCGGCCAGGGAGGAGGAAGGCTCCAACTGTGTTGCTTGGCTGTGTTGCTCACCCAATAAGACTAAGAACGACTGGGGGGGTGGAGCTTGCATGCCTTGTGTGTGGCTAGTTAATGCAAGCTGAGGGTTTTTTTGAATGCTGGACGCCATTTTGTTGCACGTGCTGCTGCAAACTTTGCAGTGCAAAGCCAGGCCAGGGAGCCATCTTAAGTTGAGGCTGCATAGGCCTTGTGGTGCATGTGATTCAGATTCTATTCAGTTGACAGTTGAACCTCTGGTTACAAAGTTGGTTGGACAGTGTTCTCGAAGCTACCAGCATGAGTTTGACCAGACTGCAGGAGGACAGGAAGACTGGAGTGCCTAGAACAGGTGAGGCTGCAGGTCCCTTATTTTGGCTGCTGGTCTCTTATTTTCAAGGCTGCTGGTCCCTTATTTTCAAATCTGTAAGTTGACAGCTATGCATCATAGACATGTTGCATCCAAATACTTTTACGCAGACAGCTATCAAGAGGAGTTTGGGCAGGAAGAAAGATGCAAATACACCGAATATTTCATTAAATTTACAAGTAGTAAAATTGAGCTTAGCAAAAAGGAGGCTTACAGGGCCTTCTCAGCAATGGCACCCCAGCATCCCCCCCCCCACTATTATCAGATGTTGAGCTGGCACAAACATTGGCTGTATTTCAGTGTCAGCTGAAGACCTTCCTCTTCTGTCAGTAATAAGATCTTTGACTTCTGTTGAACAGTGGGGTTATTTTGCCAAAAGTGTTTAGACAGATTGCTTTATTGCGACGTTGTGCTTTGATTTCTCTTTTCTTAAGCCTTGCTATTTCCCTGAGCACTTTAGATGAAGGGTGGGATATAAATGGCTTAAATTAATTAATAGGATTGCCAATGTGTGCCCCTCACTGCCCTCTACAGCACATGCAAAAACCACTTGATTGACTGTTGGGCCCACTCTTGGTCTTGTCCACTCGATGCACTGGACCCTATCTTTGCATGCAGGGGAAGTCCTCAGCTCACTGAGGGTTTGAGACCCATTGGACACTCGCACCTGCCTTAGCTGGCCAGTCAAAGCCATTTTCCAGGGTGTGGCCACAGTCACATACTGGCAGCTTCCAAGAGCCACAGATAATTATAATAATAATAAATTTTATTTATATCCCGCCCTCCCAGCCGAAGCCGGGCTCAGGGCGGCTAACAACAATAAAATAAGATGAGAGCTGAGAGCACGTGGGGACCAACAGTGGACAGACTACTCCAGAAGGAGCATGATGTACTACCCCTCCCTTAACACCCCACAATCAGAGCAGATTGCAGCCCCCATCATGCCCTGCTCATCCGCTTCCCTGGGGCAGTGACTACTGTAGAGTGTTGGACTAGATGGATCTTTCATCTGATACAACAAAGTAGCTCTTGTGTTTTGAAGTGTTAACATTTGACAGAAGTGAGTAACGGGAAAGAGAGGGAAGCCTTTTGGGTATCATAATTTGATTACACTTTGAGCAAGCTGCAAAGCATTCCTTTTTTTGCTTCCAAGACTGGCCCGGAATATTAACAGCTTTCTCAATCTGGAAGTGGAACTGAGTTTATACCACATTCCACTCAGAGTCTGTTAATAATAATTTGAATAATTACATCCATAAATAATGCTTTAAGATCACTCTCCAAAAAAAACTGAACTATTGCAGGAAATGTTTTGGTACTTCTGAGAGAACTCCATGTTTTAAACATGGGCAATAGATTTGAGTATACAGGCTACTTATATATTGTCTCTATGTGGACTCTGTCAAATCACACTTTTGACATTTCTGTTTTTCAAACTTACTGTACCAGGTAAAACGACCTAGGTCAGAAGGCCTTATATTTGGGGGCAGAGGGGTGGTATCTAATCATAGCGTGTTTTTTCCTTTATGACAGCTGCAAATTAGTTGTCATTTCAGCAGCAACTCCTGTAGAATGTTTTCAAGACACAGAATTAACTGAATCCACTCATAGAAGTGTGCTTGGTGAATAACTCCTGAACACAATTTACTCCCTAATTCGTGGTTCTGCTTTTCATGGATTGCTTCCCTTCCAGTGCAATATATGCCATCACCTGCCATCAATGTCCTTCTGCAGCCTATGTACAACAGACAGGACAGTGTCTATGCAGAATAGAATATAGACACAACCCTGGCATCAGAAATGACAATATCCAGAAGTCAGTAGGAGACCATTTCAACTTACCAGGACACCCTGCAGCTGACCTTACAGTGGTCCTCTTTCAACTAAAGAACTTCAAATGGAAACTCCAGCATGACGCTACTGATTTACAGTTTCTCAGGGAATTCAGCCCTGTCTGTGTATGGCTTGAATCAAGATTGAAGATTTTTATCAAGCTACATGGCTTATTTAACTTGGTGATCATGTCAGTGCCAATGGTTGGTTGAGGGTCCCAGGGGCTTAGAAGAGCCTCTCAATGGCCTGAATGGGCCGTGCCATGTCTTACGGCCCTTCCCTGGCAAGCCCTTGGGCAACAGACAGCAGTGCTTCTTCTGAATGGGAACAAAGATCAGCTCCCATCCATGTTGGATGCCCACCATCTTAATTTGCCAAACAGGCCATGTCCCAGTCTATAGATGTATGAAATGCATAGGTGTTATCTACATCTTAACAGCACTCCTTTCCAAATCTCTGAATGATCTCATTCAACAGTTTCATGTAGATCAGGGGTACAAAAATGGATCCAGCCAGTATAACAGATCCTTATCTCTACCCCACCTACCCACACACCAAGTATGACAAATGAGTGGGGCCACCAACTTGCCATTCGCCACTTAGACATTTTATTACTACCAAGCCATTCAAAAGCATGCCAATGCAAGTAGATAAATAGGTACCACTGTGGCAGGAAGGTTTCTGTCACAGTATCCCATTGTGCCAGAAGCGGTTTAGTCCTGCTGGCCACATGACCTGGAAAGCTGTCTGTGGACAAATACCGGCTCCCTTGGCCTGAAAGCGAGATGAGCGCCGCAACCCCATAGTCACCTTTGACTGGACTTAACTGTCTAGGGGTCCTTCACCTTTACCTTTTTACTTTTTACTGCCAAGCGGTATATGCATTTTGTTAAATAAAAAGAAAATAAGCAAGTTTATCAGCTGATTGTCAGGACTTCCTTTCACTGTGTATTTTAAGAACTGAAGATCAGCTAGGCATTGCCTAGAAACTCCCTTTCAGCCTTGCCACATCCTTACCTGTTATTTTGTTTATATAGTGGGTAGATGGGCATGGCTTCACCAAAACGGCCTTGAAGGCCAAATGGGGAGACTTGGTGGGCCAAATTGTGTCCATGGGCCAAACGTTCCCACTGCTGATGTAGACAATAAAAAGCATGGAAAATAAAAATATATCACCCTGGGACACCAAAGCATAACACCAAGGAGAATTAGACAAATCAGTGGAGGACAAAACTATCAACAGCTATAAGCCATGATAGCTATGTTCTGCCGCCATTTTTGGAGCCAGTATGCCACTGAATACCGGTATCTGGGGACCACAAGTGGGGAGAGTTCTGTTGCACTCATGTCCCTGCTTGCAGGCTTCCAGCAATTTGACTGGCTACTGTGAGAACAGGACGCTGGACTAGATGGGCCATTGGTCTGATCCAGCAGGCTCAACATGTTCTTAGGAGATGAGTAGAAATGTTGCCACCTTATAGAATTAGCCACCCAGAAAGCAGTAGAATCGCCCAGAAACTGTTACCCAACCTCTAGCTTAGACCTGTCTAGAAGGATACCATGGTAGGTGGTGTCAAAAGTTGCTGAGAGACCCAGCAGGATTAACAGGATCATACAACACCCCTGTCTCTTTCCTGGCAAGGGTCATCTGATAGGGTGACCAGTGCAGTTTCTGCATGAAAACCAGCCCTGAACCTGATTGAAATGGATCCAAAAAATTAGTTTCATCCAAGAGTGTTGGATTTGGTCATAAATGACCCACTTAAAATATCTTGTCCAGGAAGATAATGTTAGTTGCTGAAACCTTCCAGGTTCAGGCTTTTGCAAACAAACGAACAAACAAAAAACCTTCACATGAATTTGTCCTGGAATGGAATGGATTGGTTCGTGCTGCCCATCTTTTGTAAAATAGATGGCTTCAAGTTTTCATGGAGAATCTGTTGGAAAGCAGAATGGAAAAAGCCACAAAATTTTGCACAATCCATTCATGTGGTAATTAGACTTGGCATAAAGTACCATAGTAGAAGCCAAAGGAGGTAGAGTTGACAACAACAACAACAAAAATATTTGGCTGATGTGGAAAATGGGGACTAAGGAATTGCACGTCAAGCAGATGTACAAATATCTGGGAAAGCAATGGCTGCTGATCTTGGAAATTAATCCCATAGACGGTCAGATAGCCAAGAAGAAAGGCTACTCACCCAGTATTGAAAACAGTGCTGATTCCATGTATTGCACACCTGATCTCATGGTGCCTTGAATGAGAGAAAGTGTACAATGCAAATGGGCTGGTCAAAATTAGAAGATATGGCAGCATCAGCATGAAACAAGTCAACCAACTAGTGACACAAGAGAGACAACAGTAAATCACACAAGCAAGTTGGAGTTAACTATTAGCACAAACAGGATCTGCAAAAGAAGGTCATGCCTCGTGAGCACAGCAAGTAATTTCCAGCAGGACTTGCCCCCATGAAGCAGGTGCTGAGATTGAAGGTCCCTGCCTTCCCACAGTTGCCCAAGTCCCCTCCTCCCCAGGGTTTCTCCCAAGCAATTTGAGACTGTGCCTGTGTGGAGCTAGCTTCTCCTGTGCCCTCTTCATGCCTCTCCTGGTTCTAGGAGACCAGAGGAGAGGAGAGCTTGTTCCAGCCAGACTCATCTCTGCCTCTTGGCCTCACTCCTCTCCTGCTTCAGTTTCTGCCTCCGAATCTGGACTGCTCTCTCCACAGACTCCACCTCCTCACTAAGTCCTGTTACCTCTTCAGCTTCCAATACCTCCTCCCAGTCTTCTCCCTCCGACCATTCATCATCATCCCACCACCCCTGGCTCTGAGCCTTCTTCCCTTGGGGGTTCCCCAGTAATATTGGGAGGAATAAAAGAGAATAAAGGCAGAGGATTCTGAGTCCAGCTGAGCAAATGACTGCGATTTTGGGACTGACCCTAGGATTCAACTCTGGATCATCTTCAGAGATGGGAATCTGGCCTCATGACTTGACTTCGAACCTTTCTCATTGCATCGGACCTGAATCTGTATTTGACCCTTGGACTGTCCGACTCCTCTCTAGTGTTGCCCTTGGGACTGTATGCACTGTTGGGACTTGCCTCAGAGTACATCAGGGTTCAGTTCAATCTGCCAGACAGCTAGAAACTTTGTTAGCAGAAGTAGCTCACTGAGGAAGCCCTGGTCTTAACATCTGCTGCTTCCACAGTCCATTCTAGGCCAAGACATTCAGTTGCAGAGTGGCAGCTGGAATGTTAGAGAACCAAGGGGGAAGCACAGATTTACCAGAAACCATTGTACTACTGTCTGTTTTATTATATATTGAATATATCACAAGTCACCCTGAGAATATAAGAGAAACCTACTAGGTCAAGCCAGTGGCCCATCTAGTCTAGCATCCTGTTCTCACAGTGACCAACCCACAGACCATGCCTATAGGAACCCCACAAGCAGGACCTGAACACAAGAGCCATTTCCCCTCCTGTGGTTTACAGCAACTGGGATTCAGAAGCAAAGTTTGGCGGGGGGGTGGGTACAAATCTTCCAATATAAATAAATCAATTAATTGTTTTTAATGTCTTCTGGAAGCTTGAAAGTCTGCACGATGTCTCATATACATATAGCTTTGACCAAACTGTTTTCTCCACTGTTGAATATGTCTGGAGTAAAAATGTTGCCCGCTGTAACAGTAGTAGCTGGAACTAATTTATGTTTTATGAATTCAACATAAAAAAAATCAAGCCCATATCCATATGCTGCTATAATTAAGTCTGTCTTTTATGGTGGTGGGAAGGGGGAATCTATTTCTTTGAGTCCATGCAAGATCACAGCAGGGGGGGTGTTACCCGAACCCATCTTTTGCATTAGCCTCCCACAAGAATCCTACTTTCCATTTGGTCAAGCTGTAATCCTTATTTCATAGTGTTGCTCAATGCTGTTAGCTGCCTTGGTACCATATGGGGGAAAGTAGGGCAGAAACGCTGAGGAACAATGGCTCTGAGAGACCTCCACTCTAGTCCCACCTTGAAGCAATTTTGTCTTGTTCCAAGGTGGAACATGACTAGAGGTCTCTTGGGACATTTGTTTTGGAACATTTCTGTCCCACTTTCCCCTAGGTAAGTCACAGTACCTTGTCTTGGAGTGCACTCTATCTGAATGCATCACCATGATTTTCATTGCCCACATACAGGTTCCTTACTCTTGGACAGACACAAACACAAACACAGACACAGACACAGACACACACACACACACACACACACAGAGAGAGAGAGAGAGAGAGAGAGAGAGGGAGGGAGGCAGGCAGACAGGCCTCAGTTTACACACATTTGTCTGTACAGTCTAGTTAGCTGTTTAGCTTCCCTTCATTGTATTTCAGAGGCTATATTCTTTCTCCCAGTTGCCTTTGTATAATAGACCCAAAGCCCTAATTACCAATTTCCTTTCACTCCTAAATCTTTTTCATGCCCTTTCTGAGAAACCGCTTGAGGAAAACAATTTGTTTTACTTGCTTGCATATTTTGTTTTACTCGATAAGAGTTTTTATTTTACTCTTTCCTTGAGGAGATGGTTTAAATGTTGCGCTTATGGTTTGTGGATTTGGGGGAAAGAGTTAGGATGGCAGTCAGCAGCATTACTTATATGCCCACACAATCAAAAGACTCTTATAACGTTATAATATAGTAGTAGCCTTCTAGTGGAATTGTTTCCCCTTCTTAATAAATTCAGCTGCTTTTGGTGGGCCGGAACAAAAATCAGTATGATGAATTGTCTCTGTGTTGCAAAAGTAGCTTTCCCTGCTTTTAAAGTCGGGGAACCAGAGGAAGTTGAAACATCACATGGACAAATGTTGCTGTTTTGACAAAGTGTCACAATTGCCACCCCAGTGCAATTGTAGCATGGTGTGTTAATCTAGAGCAGGGCTGAGAAACCTGTGGCCCTCCAAATGTAGGACTACAACTCTCATCATCCCTAGCTAGCAGAAGCGGAAACAATCCCTGAGGATTGTGGAAGTTGTAGTCCAACAACTACTGGAGACCCAAGTCTGAGAAACACTCTAGGCTACCTAGTGGACAGAACTGAACTGTTTGGGGTGCTGCTGTTACTGCTACATTGCCACAATACCTCTATGCCTGGAAGCTGTGACCCATCTGTTGCTTACCAAAGATTTGGGCAGATTCAAGGTAAAACTGAGAGAATCTGACCTCCACAGCATTTTGGCGACACTCAGCTGTATATTGCCAAACTGTGGCACCCAGGTCTTTGGCCATAACCTTTTATGAGATTGCATATCAAAGCTTTTATCCCTTGCCCTCCACATTATGCAGTTATGGCTAGTGACATTTGGTACCTGCAACCCCAGAGTCATTCGCGACTGGACTGGACTGTCAGGGGTCCTTTACCTTTATCTTTACCTAGCTGAATTTTTATTATTATTTGGGGGGGGGAGGATTAAATCTGTCAATATTTCCAAATCTGAAAAATCCAGATTTTGAACCCAGCATAGGAGCCAACTCCCTTTGCCCCCCTAAAATATTTGAGGGGATTGCTCCCTCCAACATTGATGGGCATTGCCATTCAAATGGTGTGCATGTGTCATGTCATGTGAGGTGGAACTTACCTGGGCCCTCCCAATATTTTATTCCAGTTGGTACCTCTGGAACCAACTTGAGCATATGCTCTATGGTTCTTATGCATATTTTATTCAAAGGTAATACCCCGTTGACTTAAGTGAGCCATGCTCTTCCTTGCTTCAGCTTTAGATTTATAGGTTAGCCTGTTAATTAGATACTGTCAAAAGTTGATCGTTCTGTCTATTTCTGATGTTCAGATTGTGAGTGCTATTGCTTATTCAGCCAAAAGCAGTGAACAGAAAGAGGGAGAAAGGAATAGGAGGCTGGGGTGTGGAAGTACAAAAAAATATTGCCTGTGGGGCAGGGACTGAAGAGGAGGAACCAAAAATGACACAACTCAGTGCCAGTTATGAGGGATGGTGGTAGAAAGGATAACCAGGGAGAAAGAGGGTGAAATGGGAGAGGCCAGCAACTTTTGACTCCACATCACAATGGACTGTTTTCTATTCCAGCTTCTCATTTATAAGAACCTTGTCACAAGCAACAATGCCTGAGTTCACTTTCTCCCTCCTTCGTCCCAATATGTTTTCCTTTTGTCCTGTACTCCTTTTAGATTGTGAATATGAAAGCAAAGTCCATCTTATGAAACTGCCCTGAGAGCCTCTTTTGACTTAAAAGTAGGGTGAAAATGAATTTTAAAACATAAAGGTAAGTGTGCACAGCATTGTAGCCTTAAAGTGCAAGGTCATGCATGTCTATTCAGAGACCAAATTCAGTTCCATAATTACTCCCAGAAAAGTGTGCACAGGGTTGTGGTCTCAATATATAAACATATCAGTGGGGCATTGTAGAGTTCAATAGATGAATGTGGAAACTAAAGGAAAGATGCATATTCTGCACTTGCTTCCAAAATACCTTAATTAAATCATCAAAGGGATGCATCCAGGCAAAGTTGAGGACTTTAAAGTTCCCGTCACTTCTCCTGGAAATATTTATGCAGCTACTTAACCAATGGAAATCGCTAGGGCCTGCCACCTGATCTGAACCATGCTTATAGTTTGTCCCACTGATGTCAATAGTTTCCACCTCCCAAATCAGTGCGCTGAGGGTTGCCGCGGGAACTTAACTGTGGCTTGATTGCTCCCCAAATAAAGAAGTTGTTAAAAGATCCATCATGCAATGACTTCTGCTCGGGCAAAACACCTGACATCTTTTAAAAAAGAGAGAAAGATCATGGGGATGAAATAAACAGCAACTAGGCATTCTTGATTATTGAAGGGGGGGGGTATACAGGTTTCTTGGGAATTGGCAAGGGCCAGCCGTGAACCGCATGAGTTCTAAGAATAGTGTGGCATGTACTGCAGCAATGACTTATAATAAACACCGTATTTCCAAAGGAAACTGCAGTTATTAAATGTTGTGCCAGAAGGGTCAGCTGGTATGCATAAAGATGAACTGGAGGCGGGGGGGGGAATTGCTGTGAACATTCTGCTTCCTTGTTTCTTTGACACACACACACACAGAGACACAAACACGCACACGTAACCACTTATTCTCAGAAATGTGGACATCTTCACATTATGTTTTTGTTTTGTTTTTTGGTTGAAAATATCACTTTCCCATGACCTTAAATAGCCTTCACAGGTTTTAAACCAATTTAACAACAACATATTTTTCCACAGACTTGAAGATCCCCCTTCAGCATACTGCAGAGAAAGAGAAACATCCGAGAAAATGGTGATATCCTCTCAGAGATGAAAATTAAATCTAAGATGTCTTGTGGGACAGCTGTGGGAATCTTGGGTTTTTTGGGAAGTGGAGTGAGGAAAACCACTCAAACCTTAAATCTAGCAAGCAACATCATTTTGTCTAGTTCAGCCATATAAGAATAAGAATCCATGCTGCAGTTCAATTGTCTCAATATTTATTCTCTAACAGGTTGTTGAAGCACATGCACCACCTGAAGCCCACCTTTTCTTGGGCTGCCTACAAAATAATCACCTTCATTAATGCCATTACTAATGGCATCCAGATGTGAAGGATTCAGATAACAGGAGAAATTAAATTCACAGGCTCCACCCTCAATATTAAATTTTCTAAATTTTAGCAAAAGCATGTCTCTCCCCACACCCCACTCCTACAGCCTTGTAGGCACAGCACTTGGGGGCGGCATCACAAGGTGTCAGGATCTGGCTCCCTCTGCTGCCCCTGTAATTTGAGCATTAACTGTGAGTAGATCTGGATAGATAAACTGAGTAAACAAAGTAGTGCAGAAGCGGAGTTGAGCCAGGAACATGGTTATAGGGCAGAGGCAGAGGGGCAGCTGCTCTTCCAGGCTACTTTTTGAGGGCCACACGCCAATGGTTGGTGGGGCCAGAGGGAAAAGTGGGCAGGCCAGCTGGTATAAATTTTATCTTGTACAATAGGCTACTTTCCACACATGCCCACCTGCCCCTCTCTATCCTTCATCCAAGTAAGCAAGGGGCTTTATCAGAGTTGAAGGACGCATTTCAGCCAGCTGAAAACACACAAGGAGGGTGTGAAGCAAGATTGCTGAGGCAGGGGGCCTGGGGGAAAATCCAAGGGACACACAGAGAAGCCTGAAGTGGGCAGTGTTTGATCCCTGGTCCTGAGCTTAGCTACCCCTGCTATAGACAGACATGGAGGAGAGATCCAAGCAGGAAGGGCACACATGCCCTTGAGCAGAGGAGAGGAGAGCCAAACCATCACTTCCCCAGAAGCTGCCTCAAACAGTAGCTTGAGGAACCATTCCTAAAGGTTGGGAACTAGCTCCTAATTGGCAGCAGTGACTGACAGCATTGCATGGTAAAAGAGGCCTTGGTACCCACTTTATGTCTCAAACCCCTCTGGTGCAGGATTGACATTGGTATAGAAGCCTATAATTTTAAAGAGATGTTCAAGGAACAAAGAAGAAGGATTCAAACTCTCAGTCTTTGCCACACATCCCCAAATATGTTTCACACCAGGATCTTGAGGTTCCTAGCCTGCTGATTTTTCAAGGTTCCAATTAAATGTAACATACAAAGGCTCGCATTTGCCTCCTGTCCCGCCATGGAATGTATGTCCTGGGGGTGGAAATAAGACATTGCCGACTCCTTGGGAAAGTACAAATTATATAAGAAGCTTTGTCTGACGGTGGCAAGATGACTGGACCTTTGAAGAACTATGATTCTTCTTTGAAAAGAGAAGAGTCGGAGGAATAGAAAGACACACAGAGCATCTGTTGGAACAGGGTGGCATTGGGGCACGAGCAAAGCCTTCATTCAAACCAAAACAAAAGGGAGGGTAAGAAACATGGAAAAGATAATACTAGGGAGGCTCTCTTTACAATCACTGTACTGTGTCTCAGATAGTTGCTGAAAAAGGCTAGCAAAGGAGGACTATATATTGTAAAATTCAAAAATATGCATTAATTTTGGCTGCTACCATACAGTGCCATTCAAAAATAATAATAATAAATTGATTCCCCACCCCCACAAGGTCATGATTCTTTGCTGTAAGATCATATGCATGATACATTTGCCACCTCAAAGCATTGGTTTCTTTAAAACACACACACACACACCAACAACACACACTGTCTCCTCACAGCTCCTGGCAACTTACACTTGAAGGCTGGCCTTTGACCCTTCCTGAGAATCTGAATGAACAAAACCATTTTATTTGTTAGCCGAACCTCATAAAATTTGTTAAATCAACCCCTCATAAGATCAACCATAGTAAAACAGAAGCAGGGGTGGTGGGCGTATGCTCTGCTTCAGCTTCAACAGTTTTCCATATTTCATACATTGTGCAGGTTTGGAAGAGAAAAAAATCATAAGGGTCACAAAGCCACCAGCTGCAGCCCAATCATACAAACCACTATTACTGAGGGAGGTTTTCGTTTTGTTTTTTTAAGGAATGGGCATTGTGAATTAGTTCCAAAGATGGAAGAAGCTCTTGTCTGCCAAAGGAAGGAAAACTTTAGATACAGTACCACTAATTGGAGGGAAACCCCAGGAAAGAAACCAGCAAAATTTCAAAGTCTTGTTAATTCCAATGTCCCCTTAAATCAATGGAGATTTAAAATGCTTAAGTTTGTTAGGATTACTACCCCAGGATTCCAGCACCATTGCAAGCTGACAACTTACAGTATGTCTTTATGCACAAACATGTATTAAATTCCTGCTAGACCTGATACAAATAAAGCTGATCCATTATACTATGTGGGAAGTTCTTTTTTTTTAATATACTAATTATGTTTCCTTTCCTGTTTTCCTTTCCCTAGCTGGGTTCAATTTGCAACCCTAGGGCACCGTCCAGTCAAAGTCAAGCACTTTGAAAATAACTTCTATCAGTAGGAGAGCTAAAAGATATCCAGGCCCATTTACTTGGGAGTACATCACATTAAGTTCCCTGGGGGAACTTACTTCCAAGTAGCTGTACATAAGATTTCCGTTTCAACCTCTTCCATTTAAACAAAGTATTCAGACCCTCTAAGTGTCCCTATTTTCCAAGGACATTCCTGATCTGGAGAAGCCATCCCAGTTTCTGAATGTCCCAATTTTCCTTAGGATGTCCCTATTTTCATTGGAGAAATGCTGTAGGGTATGGAATTATTCAGCCCCCGAGCCATCTGAAAGCAATCCTGAATAGGGAAGTTTTTTTTAAAAAAAGTTTAATATTTTGTTATGTTTTAATATACGGTGGTACCTCTGGTTACGTACTTACTTCGTTCCGGAGGTCCATTCTTAACCTGAAACTGTTCTTAACCTGAAGCACCACTTTAGCTAATGGGGCCTCCCGCTGCCGCCGCACAATTTCTGTTCTCATCCTGAGGTAAAGTTCTTAACCGGAGGTACTATTTCTGGGTTAGCGGAGTCTGTAACCTGAAGCGTATGTAACCTGAAGCGTTTGTAACCTGAAGCGTTTGTAACCCGAGGTACCACTGTATGTTGGAAGCTGCCCAGAGTGGCTGGGGCAACCCAGTAAGATATGTGGGGTAGAAATAGTAAAATTACCGTTATGGAATGGGACATCCCTATTTTCTTCAGAGAAATTTGGAGGGGTATGAGTATTTCCAGCTACTTAACTTTGATGAGGTTATGTCTCTATATTTTCTGTTATTGCGCTTGCTGCAAGAAGAAAAAGAAATAATTGTAAGAGAAAATATGCTAATGAGTTGGTAGAGCATTAGAATCTTAATCTCAGGGTCATGGGTTCGAAAGGTGCCTATAGAGCTCCCTAAATAGCTTCAGGGTGTGCTACAGAGTGTTGGATGCTAACTAGATAGCCTTTTGCCATTTCGACTTAGAGCAATGCCACATCAGGTAGTGTTTCACATCTTCTTCTCGTTCTCACCTGGCTCTGCAAAAAAAAAAAAAGGCTGGAAGGAAAAAACACCCACCCCACTGTCAGCGGATTCTGTATGTCGCACAATCAGAAAGAATGCTTTTCGGAAGCAAAGTTTATCAGCCCTTCTCCATGCTGCAAGTTTTGGGAAGTCAACACCCAAGCCTGACCTGACCCAGTCTGCAATGAAACTGTTTCCTGCCTGGCACATGCAAGAATTGAACCACCACCACCCAAGTGATCCAAATCAAACAGCTCCGAGAGAGGAGAGTCAATAGCATTATTATTATTTGTCAATCACATCATTTCTTTATAGTCTAGAAGCCAAACATTAGTTGACTTTATTACTCATGCTGAATGTAGATGGAAATAAAAACACAACCATAGCTATAAAAACAATCAAATGAAATAATAATATTCAAGATGGGTTTGTTTTGCAAATGACAGGAGTATTTAACACGGGGTGGGGGGGCTAACCTGAGGACCTCCAGATGTTGCTGGACTGCAACTCCCTTCATTCCTGGCCATTGGCCATGCTAGGTAACACTGATGGACCAGTTGGAAATCCTAGACAGGCACTGCCAGTTAGACAGACAAAACTCAGTTAGATGGACTAATAATTTGACTCAATATATACTAAGGCATCTTCCTATGTTCATATCTGGAGGGTCACAGTTTCTACCTCTGATTCTAACCTGATATGTTGTTTTACAGCATCTCCACAACAGCCTGGGCAAGGAGGGACAAAGTAACACGTGCATCTATTTAGTGACCAAAACACCTATGGGCAAATGTGCCACAAGTCACAAATGCTAGAAAGTTCCACTCTTATCAGGGCCAGCATTTCTCATTTGAGGTGTGCCCCACTCTCTGCTTATACTAACCTCATCAGGTACAGGGCTCTTCTTGGCCCTAAGAATCGAATAATGCTAATCAAATAAATAATTGCTAACTTGTGTATCGAGGCCCTGTGACCACCCTGTGAATAACCAGACACCACACAGGATATTGGTTTGGGATCAAATAAGGCCACAACTTTATTGGTTACAGATGGGTTTGGCCATAAGTATTGGGATAAGCAACTGCACATATCACTCCTGCCCATCGGCTGGGAGTGTTTCTACAGGTGAAGCCAGGGTGGGGTGGGGTGATGACACACGTCCTGTGACCTATGTCAAATCTGTGTGTCCCCCAAGCAATTCCTGTTGGAGGAGTGGTATGGCCCTATCCCCTGTCTGGTCATAGGACAGGGATCACTCCTCCTGAATCCTTTTAACAGAATACCCTTACTCATGAAGGGGCAGCCAGAGGCTACAACCTCTCCCTCCAACTAGGCTTACCCAATGCTTACCCACCTTACAAAGGAGAGTCTGTCACCACAGGTGCAGGGCTCTTCTTGGCCCTAAGAATCAAATAATACTAATCAAATAAATAATTAATTAATTGCCAACTTGCCATAGCCTTGAAAATCCGTTGCCTGAGGCAGCTGCCTCATGCTGCCTAATGGCAGAGTTGGCCTTGATTCTAGTCCTCTGACTTGGTTTTTCTGCTCGTCTTGTTGATTGGGGGAGATGACAGCAACATTGGGTGAGGCAGCATAGCTAGGAGTGCAGGGCTGACTATGCCATAACTACTAGGCACACACAGTTTCCTGTTCCTGCCCAGAAGGGCCACAGATCATTGAGGTCTGTACATAGTAGCTAATATAAAATTTGCTAGAACTATTACAAATGTGGATCAAACATACTTAATGCTAGTAATTTTATTTTTCATTGGTCAGTCCAGAAAAGAGGCATCAAT